TTTTTTTTGAGAGGTTTTTGCTATAGGGCGCGTGCGCTCACCAGACAGACAGAGAGAGACATAGAGACAGAAAGCGAGAAATCACCCCCCAGGGAGGATGGTCACGCTGCAATTCCTTCTCCTCCATTCTCCTCTCGGGATATTGGGCACGCATACACACGCACCTGGTGTGAGTTTTTTTTTTATATTTTTTAATTATTTTACTGAACTTTATTTATTTACTTATTTTAATTTGATCAGAGAGGGACAGAGCATGAGAGAGATAGAGAGAGAGAGAGAGAGAGAGGGAGAGGGAGAAAGCAGCAAGCCACCAGTTCCAGGGTTTGAACCGCGGTCAGACACGTGGGAGTCCAGCGACGTAGTCATTATGCTAACTGCTGGCTCCCAAGCGCACCAATTTCTATAAGAGATGCTCAGAGGTACTCAAGGTTACCAAACTCATCATTACCTGTGCCTCCAGCAACATCAAGGAGCTTGGTCCCAGGAAATGGGTGCATCTTCAAGAGCAGCAGATCCTTCCAGACACGATGGATTCCAAGACTCATCATATCATTCATCACGTCATACTTCTTGGCCACATTTTCAAACACCTGATATACTGACATGGGAGAAACACACACTGTTGTGTTAACAGGATGAACTTGGACAAATCCTAAACAAAAAGAGGGGAAGTTTTGTCTCTGAAATTGCCTATCTTTGCAAGGTGACGTTAAGTCATAATGCTTGTTACTCAATTTCCATCTTTTTAAAAAATTATTTATTTATTATTATTTTAAAGTTTGCTATAAGGTCCATGTACTTATCAGAGAGAAACAGAAAGAAAGAGAGGGAAAGTGACAAAGCAAGTCACCAGGTCTAGGACTTGAACCAAATCAGTCATGTGAGAGTCCAGAGCCTTAACCAACATGCCTCCTGCTGGCCCCAATCCTCAAATTTACATCTTAATATTATCTCTTTATAAAGCTTAGGAGGACTGGGACCAGCAGTTAGCGTAATGGCTATGTCGCTGGACTCCCATGTAGTTGACCGTTGTTCGACGCCTGGACCCAGCCAGGGGTGCGTGTGCGTGCATGCCCAAGATCCCAAGAGGTGAACAGAGAAGGGATTGCAGCGTGGCCATTCCCCCTGGGGGGTGATTTCTCACTTTCTGTCTCTATGTCTCTCTCTGTCTGTTTGGGGAGTGCACGCGCCCTCTAGCAAAAACCTCTCCCCTCCAAAAAAAGTTTAGGAGGACTGGCAGATAGCATGGTGGCTGGGGCACTAGACTCCTACATGGCTGACCACAGTTTGAACCCCAGATCTGTTAGCTTGCTTTTTCATTTTCCCTTTCTCCCTCTCTGGTCAAAGTAAAAAAATAATAGTAAGAAATCAAAAAAAAAAAAAAAAGTAGTAAGAAATCAAATTAAATAAATAAATATCTTTAAAATTTTTTAAAAAGGTTAAATTTTAATTTTTTAAAAGAATTCTTTTATTTAACTGCATTTATTATTTTTATTATTATTTTTATTTGACCAGAGAGAGAAAGAAAGAGAGGGAAAGTGAGAAAGCAAGCCACCAGGTCTGGGACTCAAATCACAGTTGAATCATGAGGGTGGTAGTCCAGCACTCTCAACCACCATGCCCCTGCCAGTCCTTAATTTCGCTCTCTCTCTCTCTCTTTTTTTTTTGCTATAAGGTGCATGATAGAAAGCGAGAAATCAGCCTCCGTGAGGAATGGCCATGCCTCAATCCCTTCTCCTTCATTCTCCCCTTGGGATTTTGGGCATACCCACGCATGTGCCCGGTTTAAGATTTAAGCCACCAGGTTTGGGACTCAAACTGCGGTCAACTATGTGGGAGTCCAGAGACATAACTATTATGCCATCTGCTGGTCTCGATAAGTAATTAAAAAAAAAAAAAGTTGTTTAGGGCTAGCAGGTGGTGTGGAGGTTAAATGCTGGATCTCATGTGGCTGACTGCGTAGTTTGAGTCACAGAACCAGCAGCCTGGAAATCAAACTAGGCATGTGTGCATGCATGCCCACGATCTTAGAGGAGAATGGAGAATGGATTGCAGTGTGGCTATTCCAACTGGGGAGTGATTTCTCACCTTCCCTGGCCCTGGTGAGCACATTTGCCCTATAGCAAAAATCTTTAAAGAAAAGAAAAAGAAAATGTTCAAAAGTACTTCATAGAGGACCAGCAGTTGGCTATGTTGCTGGACTCCGATGTAGTCGACTGCGGTTCGAGTCCTGGACCCAGTGGCTTAAACTCATGCTGGGATATGTGCATGCATGCCTAAGATTCCGAGAGAATGGAGAAGGGATTGTGGCGTGGCCATCCCCCGAGGGGGTGATTTCCCGCTTTCTGTCTCTCCGTCTCTCTCTGTCTTTCTGGTGAGCGCCCACACCCTGTAGCAAAAACCTCGCCTTTAAAAAAAAAAAAGTACTTCATATGTGGGGTTAGCAGGTGGTATGGTGGTTAAGGCGCTGGACACTCTCACTATGGCTGACCACAGTTCAAGTCCCAAACCTAGTGGTTTGCTTTCTCACTTTCCCTCTCTCTCTGGTCAAATTAGAGTAAATAAATGAATAAATAAAATTAAAAAAATAATTATTTTTTAAAAAGTACTTCATAGATTTCAATTTTTTTTAAAAGAATTATTTATTGGGGATCAGCAGGTGGCGTGGTTGCTAAGGTGCTGGACACTCCCACATGGCTGACCATAGTTCAAGTCCTAGACCTGCTGGCTTGCTTTCTAACTTTCCCTCTCTCTGGTCAAATTAAAATAAATGGATGAATAAATAAAATAAAAATAATTATTAAAAAAAGGATGATTATTTATTTATTGGACCAGCAGATAACATAATGGTTATATCGCTAGATTCTCATGTAGTTGAACATGGTTCAGTTCCTGAATCTGGAAGCTTGAAACTCATGCTGGGCACATATGCATGTATGCCCAAGATCCCCAAAGGAGAATGGAGGAGAAAGGACTGTGGCATGGCCATCACCCCTGGGGCATGATTTCTCACTTTCTGTCTCTGTCTGTCTGTCTGGTGAGTGCACATAACCTATGGCAAAGAAACTCTCTAAAAAAAATATAATTAGAAAAGAATTATTTATTTCTGAAACTACCAGGTGGCATGATGGTTAAGGCACTGGACTCCCACATGGTGGACTGCAGTTCAATTCCCAGACTTTGTGGCTTGCTTGATCACTTTCCCTTTCTCTCTTCGTCTCTGGTCAAAATTAAAAAAATAACAATAAATAAAATAATTCTTAAAAAAGAATTATTTAATTTTATGATTATCATTATTTTTAAAATTTTTAAAAAGAATTATTTAATTTTATTTATTCATTTATTTTTATTTGACCAGAGAGAGACACACACACACACAGGTAGAGAGAGAGAGAAAGTGAGAAAGCAAGACACCAGGTCCAGGACTAAAACCATTGTAGGCCAAGTAGAAGTCCAGCGCTTTACACACCAAGCTACCTGCTAGTCCCTCGACCTTTTTTTTTTCTTCAAATTGCCGGAAGATGTGGGATGTGGGTGCTCACAAGAGAGTAAGAAAGCAAGAAAGCACCCCCTATGGGGCACGATCATGCTGCAATCCCTTCTCTATTATCTCCTATTTCTCCTTCCTTTTGTGCACATACGCACACACGCCCAGCATGCTTTCAAGCTATTGGGTATAGCACCTGCACCATGCAGTAGGCACACGGGGTCCAGCCTCCTTAACCAACATACCACTGACTGGCCTGAAGATATTCATCTCTTTTCTGCTGTCTTACTTTGGGATGACTACTTGATAACAATGCTGTGCACACACTTGGTATTAGAGATGTTTCTGCTTCTTAGAGGATAGGGTGGGAAGAATTTTCCTACTGGTTATTATAATAAAAGGCAACACAACTAGACACAGGACTAATAGACGGGAAAATATCAGCTTATCTCTGTTTTTATCACTGAGAAAAACTTCAAGTATGGGATTTGGCAAATGGTGGATTCCCACATGGCTGACCGTGGTTTGAGTCCTGGACCTGGTGGCTTGCTTTTTCACTTTCCCTCTCTTTCAATCCGTCCCTCTGATCAAATTAACATAAATAAATGAATATAAATAAAACCCTCAAGTACAATTTGGCGGGCACATGAATGACATGAATGGGAAGAAGTGTAGCAGGACCAAGTTACACTGGAGAGGGTCCTAGTGATTCGTCTCCATAGGGTCAAGACAGAATATGGAATCTGGAGCAGCTGGAGAGAGAAGTCTAGTCTTCAAGATACTCAGAAGGGTTTCTCTTTGAAACTACATTTAACTTCTGCATAGCTGAGATTCTTTCAATAGAATGAGTATCAGTGCCAGCTTCCTACCTTCCTACCATGAAGCTAAAGTAGAACATAAAGGGGAGGGGAAGGACAGATGGCATAGTGGTTACATCACTGGACTCCCACATGGCTGACCGTGGTTCAAGTCCTGGACATGGTGGTTTGCTTTCTCATTTTCCCTTTCTCTTTCTTGCTCTGTCCCTCTCTGGTCAAATTAAAATAGGTAAGCAAGTAAACTTTAAATTATAATAATAAAAAAAAGAGAAAGCGAAGGGGAGATGTTGAGTTCCTCAGATAAAATGTGCTGCATAGTAACCAGCAGTTAGTGTAATGGCTGTGTCGCTGAACTCCCATGTAGTTGAATGGAGTTCGAGTCCTGAACCCAGTGGCTTAAATTCACACTGGGCGTGTGTGTTTGAGTGCTCAAGAACCCAAGAAGAATGGAGGAGAAGGGATTGCGATGTGGCCA